AACAATCGATTCTGCGCTAGGGAATTCCATCTCGCCGTACGAAGCGACCCGCGGGGACCCGACTACCCAAACACGTACAACACGCAGTATTTCATAACTCCCGGCTTCGTCCTTGTCGCCACTAATTTCCCGCCATACCACCTCCTCCTCCCCTATCATCAACTTACAGTAGTACCGTKGAATTCCATAGCACCTTATTGGCCCTCCACCCCGTGCCGAAGCTGCAGGCGGCGTGCCCATACCCGAACCCCCGAAGCCTCGGCACCTAGGCCTAGTTCCCACCAACCCACGCCACGTGGCGGGCTCCGCAGGTGTGAGCCCCAAAGACCGCCCCGACAGGCTCCCCAGAACCGGCGATCGCGTCAGGATCGGACGGCCCCGCACAACCAACGTGCAAGCCCGCGCTTGTAAATTTTCCCATTGCTCTATTGCATCTATGCCCCTGAACCTTGCCACTGGAGATCTCAGTTCCAACCTGGGACTCCACCCCCACTTTCCAAAAATCCTTGGCACACCCCTTTTGCACTTCCAGGCCCACACCCTACTCCGATCAGAAAGTCGCGTCGGGCGTGAGGTTGGTATCGGAGCCCGACACGTGGCTAAGCAATAAGGGTCTGTAGACTCAATACTGGGTAAGGCGAGGCGATCTGGCTCCACATGGGCGCCCTCCAGCTGGTAATACGCGTCGACGTAGTCCTGTAACTACACGAAGCCGAACCTCCGCCACAAGGCGAGCAGGCGCCATGGCTGCGGCCGCTGCTGCAGCAGCCGTTGCGACGGCCATCCCCAATCAACCGCCTAACCCGCCTGCGCGAACCCCTGCGGCTCCACCAGATCTTTATTTATTTGACCCAACACATCATCTCGTCGGAGCATGGTTGGCCACGCTCCGAGCTCAGCGGTATAGTAACGATGAAGCTCAGATCAACATCCCCGCGCGGATGGGGGGAGATGCCCATCATTGGTATAACACTTATGTATGGGTGGATCTTTCCACATTCAAGCGGGATTTCATGAACCACTTCGATTATGTTCACCCTGAACAAGCACTCTATATGATCAAGGATCGAGTCCAGAAACCACTCGAATCCATTACCGAGTATCGGAACAGATTTCATCGAATATTTGTAAAGACTGAGCGAGGCGAGCAGGTAGGCCGGGACCTGTTCATTGATGGACTACGTAACAAAACGATTCGGGGGAAGCTACGTAAAAACTTCTCTCCCATTAATCACACGCTGCAACAAATTATGGACGCTGCCGAAGAGATGGAGCGGAAATTCGCAGCTAGCTTCTTAGAAAATGAGGATTACGGTAGAGAAGGAGACTCGTCCGAACTTGTGAAAGCAAGGGCGGAACTGGCCGCACTACAAAACAAATTCAAAAATAAAGGATTCGTAGCCGGACCCGTTACGTATGTAGAGCAGGTAACACCGAGGACCACACCCCATGGAGCGACTGTAGACAGGCAGATCCCGGTAATGGCGTCCCCAACCGTAACTCGACCACCTCCACCGCCACCCACCATCGAGTCACCCGCAAAAACGAATGAGTCTACTGCTATCTTGGAGCTAACTAAAACATTGGTTAGTTTAATCCAAGAAAGCAAGAAGGAACAGCGAGAACACAACGCCCGATTAGAAGCTATGATGCGGAATATGCGACCCATTGCGGTGCGAGCACCAATGCAGGGAGGCATGGCCGCTGCACAAGTTGCAGCAGGGCCAGCCGGGACAACGGCAAATGCCTGTTTTACATGTCATCAACCGGGACACTTGGCCTGAGATTGCCCCCATCGTGCCATGCAGCCTCGAGCCGGGATCGCGCCTGCACAACTCCCATAGCTAACGGTCCGGGATGTGTAGGAGCCGTGATGGATGATCACGGGGGAAGTACGGGAATGATGATTTCCAGTGAGGAAGCAGCTGAGCTTATCCCGCTGGAGCAGTACGTATCACTAGGATACCCGGGGATGGGAATGATTGGGACAATTCGACCGAAACTCGAGTCCAGAGATGTCGTCGAGTGGCGGCCTTCATCGAGCGAAATGGAGACGGGAGACCCTACCTTTGTTACAGGAGAAATCGATGTCCTTGAGGTTACCCGAGCACTGGATCATCGAATCCCTCTCCCAATCAGCCACCTACTCTCCATCTCGAAACAGGCGAACGAACGTATGATGCATCATTGCAAAGCGAACCGGAAGCGATTCGCCCTTGCATGCGCAAAAGATCAGAAGGCGAAGGCGGCGCCTTCGGAGGAAAAGGCGGACGTCGCCCCTGATCCCATCTGAGTCAGATTAATACAGAAAGATGACCACTTTCTTCGGATCAAGCCGATTTCGTGGAAGTCAGCCGAATGTGATATTGAAGTCTGGGGAATGCTGTATAGTGCGATCATAGATTCGGGAGCGGCTGTCCTAGCGATATCACTCCGAGTAGTCGAGAGAGCGGGTAGGAAGAATGATTTGATTATGCTAACCGAGAAGGACCAGCTCGTATCGACTGACGAGGAGAAGATCAAGACAGTAGGGCGTATGACGAACGTCGCGTTCCGATTGGAAAAATTGCATGCTTTAGGAGATGTTGTGGTGCTGGATGTGAATACATATGACGTTTTGTTCGGGTTTCCTGCATTGGTGGCGCTACGTGCTAATTTGGACTTCAAACGCCGATCCGTCATTCTCCGGAATACCAGGGGAAAGCCGTATGTAATACCCATGAGACTAACTCTTCGAACATCGGTTAAGGTCATTCTCCGGAAACAATGGGAGTGCTCCGCATGGTCTCCTGGAATGCACCTGTGGACGGAGGCCAATCATCGAACGACGCGTGGAGCGACGACGATGACGACCCAGTCGTTACACAGTTATTACGGCAGCAGATTCACTACCCGCCGCCTCGCACTATTGCGCGTACCATGCATCTAACCACACGGAATGCTTATATGATGATCATGGGAGAACCCCTCGTACAGATTTCGAGGCTGGTTGATTCCTTGGAACCCCCTCGGACCCTGTACGAAGGCGTATCTCCCCTTCTCCTTCGGTATAGTGACAAGCCTTCCTTTTGTGATCTCACTAGCTTACCTCGATCCCTGCTTCAGCCCACAAAAGAAGTTCAGTTGTTACGTTTGGGAGCCGAAGCAGGTTCTTTGGAACCCCCTCAGCACATCGAGGCAAGATCCGATGAATTCGGGATCAAACTCTCGCCCAAAAACGTGCCCTGGCGAGACATCTGCGACGGGATAACCCCCGAAGGTCATACAGCGATCAGGGAGGAGGAAGCACAGATGGTGGCCACTGTTTTTTCTTGGAGATCGGATCACTCTTTTATATCTGCACCGCCTGACACTACTCGGCGTATACACACGAAGCAGGTTAACGTTCGGATTTTGGATCAAATGTATGAATTGCATGTGCCCCAATATGTACCTGATGAGATCCACCGGTTGATCGCTGATATTTTAATAGAATATCAAGGGGCGATTAGCGTGTCCGATGCCGATATTGGATTATCTGTGGTCGTTCAGCATGAGATTCAGACCGGGAATCATTCCCCAATCCACTGCAAGCCATACCGATACTCGTTGACAGAGCGCAAGACGGCCTTGCAACGAATCAGGGAATTTGAGGCAAACGGATGGATTGAGCCTGCCATCGGTCCCTGGTCGTTCCCAGTTGTGTTGGTTCCTAAAAAGAACGGGTCAGTCCGCATATGCATCGATTATCGAAAGTTAAATGATATCACGATTAAAGATGTGTATCCCCTTCCCCGGATTGATGATCTACTTGATGCGATCGGGTGTGCTAACTACTTCAGCAAGTTCGACATTCGGCATGGGTTTCTTCATATCTTGGTGAAAGAAGAAGATCGGCCCAAGATTGCCTTCGTTTTGTTTGAAGGCACGTGGCAGTGGGTTCAGTGCCCGATGGGAATCTGCAATGCGCCTGCCACGTTTCAGCGGGCGATGAACGTGACTTTTCAGAATTTCGTCAATAAGACGCGGCTGACTCAGGGGATGATTAACTTCTGTGTCATTGTGTACATGGATGACATTCTGGTGTACTCGGACACATTGCACGGACACGCGCAACACATCGAGTGGACGTTGGGTGCGTTGAGAGACGCATGTTTCAAGATTGCGCTGGAGAAGAGCGAGTTTTTTCTCCCGGAAATCTCGTTCTTGGGGTATGTGGTGACACGTGGAGGCCTGCGGCCGGACTCTCGAAAAGTCGAGGCGGTCAAAGAGGCCCCGGTTCCGACCTCATTGACGCAGGTTCGAGCCTTTTTGGGCATGGCCTCGTATTACCGGCGGTTCATCAAGGGGTTCGCGGCTATAGCAAGGCCTCTGACAAACCTGCTGCGAAAAGAACAGCCCCTTCATTGGGATGACGAATGCGACCAGGCCTTCGGGGCCTTGAAGGATGCTCTCGTCACGGCCCCGATTCTGATCCGGCCGGACCCCTCTCGACAGTTTATTCTCATCACCGATTGGCATTCGGAGGCTATTTCGGCCATCCTGGCGCAGAAGGGAAACGATAGGAAGGAGCATGCCATTGAATACGCTTCTCGGACGGTGTCAGATGAGCGACGAAACGATTCCGCACCACAAGGAGAATGCTATGCGGTAGTGTGGGGTATCCAACACTTCCATCCGTATTTGTACGGTCAGAAGTTTCTGCTCGTCACCGACCATGAACCTCTGTTGGCTCTGAAAAAGCTAACCAACTACACGGGCATGATCGGACGATGGGCGGTGCGGTTGCAAGAATATGAATTTGACATTGTTCATCGAAAAACGGAAAGACACGGCAACGCCGACGGACTGATACGTTTGCACCGACCCGGTAAAGTACCAAAAGCGGAAGAGATCACCTTGTGGAAGGACCCAGACATCAACAACGGTCCAAAGTACAAAGAAGTTGCGGTTATTCCACGTGGCAAGAAGCCGGTGAAGGGCAATGGGTGACAGAGGTAATGTCCCGATTCCCTCTCTTTCTTCCCCATCCTCTTCTTTCGCCTCTCTTCCTGAAAAATTTTGCTATTTCTGCGAGGCAATTTCTCGAGTCTATTCCGTCCACATGTGTCGAAAAGGGACGGGATATGTTGAATGGGTAGATTGTCGGAAATGTGTCGCACGTGCTCACGGTGCGTGCATACAGTATCGGAGTAGTGATAGACCCTGGTTCTGTCCCTTATGTCGCACTGACAAGATTCCGACAGAAGCCCGATTCCTCGATGTCACGTCGGAAGGCCCCGACAAAATCCAGAAGTTTAGAAGGGCGGAAGTCCGGACAGATATCGCCTTAATAGCCACGGTGGCAGGCAACTCCCTCGAAACCTTCTCCAAGGAGGATCGGAGGAGGGCCAATGAAAGAGCACGGGATTACCGATGGGTGGATGGACGGTTAGAGAAGCGTAAAACGAACGGCAGTGGAGCATGGTTAGTAGTTTCGCACCCGTTCATGCGGTACGACTGGGTATGAACCGCCCAGGAGGAAACGGCGGCGCATTTTGCCGTGCGTATTACCGAATCTGCGATTGACAGAAATCAATGGTACTGGTCCAATATCCGGGCGGCGTTAAATTCATCGTCCAACACTGCCAGGTCTGCGCTGCTGACAAGGCCCCAACCCAACCGCCTAGGTCGATAGTCCCAATTGTGGTTGAAAGGCCGTTTCAGAGGGTTAGTATGGATACTACTGATATAGTGGTGCCCCTCGGACCGAATAGTTACGACTGTTCAATTCTGCTGGTTTTCGTCGACCACTTTTCTAAGTGGATCGAGGCCTACCCCTGCAAGACACGACAAGCCGCGGAAATCGCACGGTACGTCAACCGTTTTCTGGGCATGCACCAGGACACAGAGGAGATCCTGACCGACAATGGGGTCGAATTTAGAGGAGAAGTCGAGAGGAACCTGGTCATACACGGCGTCTCCATACGGCACACGGCCCCGCACATGTCCCAGTCTAACGGATTTGTGAAAAACTCGAATAGGGTGATAAAAACGGCCTTGCGGCGGAATATTGCGGCACGAAACCCCCGACCCTGACCTGATATTGTCGACCACATCTTGGCGGTCCATCGTGGAACGCCCCACGAATTGACGGGCCTAAGCCCCTTCCAGCTGCGGACCAATAGTGTCGCGTGTGTATCGATACCGAGCCTCCCAGACGAATCAGGACTCAACCGACGCCCCACATGGGCCACCGCTCGGGACAAAGCCAAAAGGCACCTGGAACTCATGGAGCGGTCCCTACCTAGATTGGCCCGGAAGCACCAACGGTCCACTGAATTGGCCCATGGCCGACAGGCCCGGAGCTACGAGGCCCGGAACGGGAATGCGGGTCCCAGGACCCAGTATAAGTTAGGGGACATCGTGCAGGTAAGGAAATGTGCGCGCCAGGGTAAACTAGCGCCACGATTCTTCGGACAGTATCGAGTGATTGAACTCGGACCCAAGGGCGTGGACACCGTGCGCCTCGCTCCCGAGATTTCCGGCAGTCGATCGGCTCGCCCGATCACATGCCACGTGTCCTATCTCCGTCTTCTTCCCTCTGTTCCGTCTCCTTCTCCATCAACCTCTCCCAACGACGACTCTATCTCCTCTGCATCTCCTTCTCCTTCTCAATCTCTGTCGGATACGCCGTCACCCTCGCCATCGCCATGAGCTTTATGGAGGAGAGAGCTCTAAGTGAAGAAGCACTGGTAGCACGGGGGAATTTGACACTGCGGCAGGTGCATCATCCTCGTCTTAGTCCGGACGTTCAGCGTGTTGCACAATTCTTCTGCTCGAAGGGCGTCTACGCGGCAACAGAGATCCACGTCGACGGGAGGGCTGACGCGATCATATTGGCCGAAGCTGTCGGGTTGCAACAGCAAACATCTGTGGACGTCAGCCGGATAACGGTGGTGGTTAATTTCAGTGGGGATCTCACGGCGATTCCCCCCATTCGACAAACGAGAATCAAGGCGACGTTGCTTCTGTGGGCGCACAATCTTCAGAACGAGTGGACCCAGATCCTGGCGCACCAAGGGCACGTGATCGCACCAATCCGAGCAATCGAATACAACGGCCTTCGGCTGGATCGGCGTGACTCACCGACGCAATTACCCCCTCTCATCCCCTTCCATCCCCGATGAGTTCCTTCCCGATCTCTACTTTCGAGCTTCCTTCTTCTTTCCCCACCTTTTGGCAGTCTGATCTTCATCCCCGCCTCTCCTTCTGCATAGATCCTCTGGTTGTTCCCCTCCTCGATCCCTCTCAGTGGGACGCGTGGCACAAAGACTTCATTGAACTCTCACTGTGTCTGGCGGAAGTACGGGTGACGTGGACGAGGGACGAGAGCAATTATCCGCGGTCTGAGCGATTGAAGCTCCTTTTGATTCAGGCGTGGCGGACGGAAGTAGGGGGGGACCTTCTCAGTTTTCTATTCGGGGCAGTGCATCCAGGCTGTCGGAGGCTTTTCACCCAGGAGCTTACGGTCCCAATTGCGCAGCTGGCCGACCATCTTGACGTCAGCATTGTCTCTCAGGTCGACCCTCGCTTGGTGCCCCACGCCACCTCGCGCACGCTATCGGCGTATCTTCAGTGGTCAGCTTGTGTGGAGGGCTTCCCATCGAGAATTCCGCCTTCACGGTTGGATTACTTGGATCCGCGCGATATCGTGGATCCCGCTTTCCACAGACCGCCGTGTGAAGACGAATTGGAGGAGATAATCCGCGAGGAGCTCGCAGAAGAAAGTTTGGAGGAAGAGGAGGAGAATCTGAACGAAGATGAAGGGGAGCCGACACAGCGACGAGAAGCAGACGAAGACGAGCTCCTGCAAACAGAGAGCGAAGAGGAAGCAGAAGAAGAAGACAACGAGCAAGGGAGCGGTGACAACAACGACGAGGAGCACGCCAACGAGGATCCCCTGCTAGAGATTGCGCCGGTTGCTGATCTTCCGATCAACAACGATCCAACGCTCGACCCGGAGCCACCTCAGCCAAACGACGGCCATGTGGCCCAGATGGCTGGGCCGTCCGCTCGCCGGCCTCCTTCCCCACCGCGACGCCGCCGACGAAGCCGCTCCCCCTCCGCCTCCCTCTCCCTCGCGGCCCGTCCCCCACTTCGAGCACGTCGAGATGAGGCCGATCGGTCTTCATCCTCGGGCTCTCTCTCTCCGCCCCCATGACTTCCTCACCCTGCGCCAGCTCACCCGTCCCGCCGTCTTCCCCCACAACCCCTTCCCCCGCGACACTTTCCGTCATTACTACTCCATCCGCCTCTCTGTCACAGTCCATCCCCACTCATCCTCCCGGCGTGCTTCCCCCGAGTTCCCTCTCCATGTACTTCTCTTCAGCGTTGGATGGCGTAGTATCAACGCCGTAGAGGTTTATTGCCTCATCACGGGGTTAATCCCCGCATGCGCCGACCGCGATCGCTTTCACGCGACGCTTCTTAGAACCTTCCTCACTCTTTATCCCGACTACCTCGCTTCTCTCCCCACTACTGGCCGCCGATTCCCCCGCTTCCATAGAATCGTCCATCATCGGAGCCTTCCGGAAACGGACGATGAGCTGGAACGCTTCTTCCCGCCTATCCCGACTCATCCCCCATCAACACCTCCGCCTGCCTATCGTCTTCCTTTTCCTCTTCCCCACGGGTGACGACAACCAGGATATGACTGCCGCGCAGCATGACGTCCACACTCGTTCGCACGGTAGGCAGCAGAAAAGGAGATCAACCATCCACGACCAATCAATCAAAGATGAGCAACACGTTAGCTAGCAAGCAGGAGCTTGCTTATCTTTGGAACCCCCTGGGCGTCACATATGTGACGAACTAGCTTCTGTAATGCGCGACTTTCGGCGCGAAGTGCTAAGCGGGGTCCCACGTTGATTGGACGGGTTGATGGAAAATTGGATGTATGTCCTTGCTTTCTTCGTTGTTTCTTCGTTTGCGCAGGAGCCCCTGATGACAGTTGGGGACAATTCGGGAACACCAGGGGAAAAGGGGGCAAAACTTGGTCGGATGCGGAGTATGCGCCGAGTGCGCGATTAACAAACGTTGACGTCTCTTCTATTCTCTCGTTTCCCTTCTTTTAATTTTGTTTCGTCGGACTTTTGGGCGCGCAGACATCGCGCGGGAATTTCGGTGTCTCTTTTTGAATTTCTTTCTTGAATTTTTCGAATCTTGGTCGGAGCCATAC